GAAGTCAGTAAAACAGCAAGAGTTGTATGCAAATTAGAATTCAGCTTTTTTATCTTTTTTTTTTTTTTAATGTAGGCTACCTTATGGATATTTACTATGAGACCAGCTTACTCTGATCTTTCCACAAGGCGGCGCATGAAGGCTCATTAAGCCGAATCCTCAGAAAAGTAGCCTAACTGTGCTTCTTTGGCGCTGGACAATGAATTAAAAACGAATAATGATACTGGGAAGGTTTAATAGCTATTAAATTAAATACAAAGCAGCTATTTTAACTAAAGGAATTGTGTTTAAACTAACCCCGCCCATTTTTTCACTCCGGTTCCACGCAAACTTCCATCTATCCACTTTGATTTCTATTGTTTTCCACGCCCCCGTGACGTCATCAGAACGCATGCGCAGTATAGTCTGTCTGTCCAGCGCTTCCTAAACACGAACGGATTCAAACTCTTGCGGGTAACGTTTCGATTTATACAGTATTATTTGAATTGCGCATTTTTCTCAACATACGCACGTATATATCGCTGTTTTTTTCGTATTTAATGAGGCCAATTTGGGCGAAGCGTAAACATTGAGCGATACACCTCAAAACATGTTTAATCTGTTAGTTCAAGCCTATGAACAGGATTATTATAATTAATCATTGTTAATAAATGCAATTACTGATTACAGTAACAAACTATACCATGCTATTACCATTTACCATGGTGTTTTTACAACTCAATTGAATACCAAGGTATAGTAATGTAGAAATCATTAATGATTATATATATATATATGTATATGATTATACCTTTGTATTCAATTGAGTTGTTATATGCTATATATGAAAGTACTATATGGTTAAACCATAATTTCTCCACAATTGTAATTAAAAGGGCCATTTTCCTTCCCACACCCATCAGATGCTGATTGACAGCTGTCAGATGCTGATGACCTCATGGCCTCGTCCTCTGAGGTGAACGTCCACATGGAGGAGGTGGTGGTGGTCACGACCCCTGACACCGCGGGTCAGACTTCATCTGGCGATGAGGAGAAGAATATACTGGTGGCTTCTGACCTGGAACAGTCTGAGTGAGCGTTTCATTCTGTTGTGACTCCCATCATGCACCTCTTTCAGACTATCACTGCAGCTTTTGTGTTTTCCTGCACAGGGAAAACATTATGGAGCAATCCATGGAGTCCGAGGCCGAGTCCAGCACCACTCTCTCTCTGCCCAAGGACACTGTGCTGGGTATGAAATTAGTTTTATTTTTAAATAGGCTATAGTTTTTATTAAAGTGCCCCTATTATGCTATTTTAAAGGTTCCTAGTTTTTTCCTACAACAGGATTGCATGTATCAAAGGTCAAAAATACTTGAATTTTCTCATAATATACATTGCACATCGCCTCATTTCTCAAAGTGTCTGAAATGGTTTGTTCGAAGATTTAGTCTCTCTAAACCCCGCCTTTCCGCGAGACTACTCTGCTCTGATTTGTCCGACAGCCCAGTCTGTTGTAATTGTTCTACTCTGCTCTGATTGGTCAGATGGCCCAGTCTGTTGTGATTGGTCTACTCAGCTCTGATTGGTCAGATGGCCCAGTCTGTTGTGATTGGTCTTCTCTGTTCTGATTGGTCAGATGGCCCAGTCTGTTGTGATTGGTCTACTCTGCTCTGATTGGTCAGATGGCCCAGTCTGTTGTGATTGGTCTACTCTGCTCTGATTGGTCAGATGGCCCAGTCTGTTGTGATTGGTCTACTCTGCTCTGATTGGTTAGAGGGCTCAGTCTGTTGTGATTGGTCTACTCTGCTCTGATTGGTTAGATGGCTCAGTCTGTTGTGATTGGTCTACTCTGCTCTGATTGGTCAGACGGCCCAGTCTGTTGTGATTGGTCTACTCTGTTCTGATTGGTGAGATGGCTCAGTCTGTTGTGATTGGTCTTCTCTGTTCTGATTGGTCAGACGGCTCAGTCTGTTGTGATTGGTCTACTCTGCTCTGATTGGTCAGATGGCCCAGTCTGTTTTTATTGGTCGACCGCTTACAGCGCGTGTCGGAAACCAAACGGCTATTACCATATCTGAATATGAGCTCTTCCTCAGCACTTGATACACAGTGATATGAACAGTGACGACGGCGTCGGTTTCACCGTATCATTTCGAGTGCGAATCCTTTTAAATTGCAGCAAAGTGGATTTGCTTTTCGACATGTCGACACATGAACCAAACTCTTCCAGTCTCAGCTACAACTACTGTGTTTGAGAGTAGACATTTTTCGCCGGCAGCCAATGAAGACCATATGTTGGCATTATGGAAATTTGTTACATTGTTACGTAGGTTTGTAAGAGGAAGTGAGACTGGAACAAGCGTGCCGCACAAGCCCTGAAAAGTGAAGCCAAAACGTCTCGATCGCCCCCCGGTGGCCGGTCCTAGTATAGCTCATAAACCCCGCCTCTCCGTGTTATTCAACTGGATATGAGATCAACTAAACAATTAAATTACACTTTAAATATCTTTTTTCCAAAGGTGGTTTCGGTCATTTGCTGTCGTTTTTATCACACTGATGTAAGTTCAAGTGTCTGTTTTTAAAATAAGTTGTTTTTAGTTAGTTACGTGATGCTATAAAAACAGTGGTGTGGCGTCATGATTGACAGCTGTGATTGACAGGTTCTCTGTCACTGAAGCACCAACAGACTTTTTTTCGCGATCTTCGGAGGACTGAGGAGATTGTATTTACTTTATTTTAACAAGTCTCTTGTCGTACTGCAATCAGCAGACACAAAAATTGGAGCAGAACGGAGGAACAGGGCAGACATAGACCACTTTAGTGCATTCAGCGAGAGTGGGGGCGGGGCCTTGATTTCACGGCTTTACTTCCGGCTCACGACTGCGCAGGTCTGGTCCCGAGATCGCTTCTGCGCAGACTCAAGTCCCAAGATGTCAGCGCCATATCGGGACACTGGCGGCTTCACTTCTGACCAATGGAAGAGAGCGAAGGGCCGTCGTCCATCTTTTTTTACAGTCTATGGACTGGAATTACTGACGACTCGTTTCAGCAGTTCAGAATCGATTATTTTTTTAGGAGACAATTTTATTTGTCATGCACTTTGCAGAACTTTTTCATTCACAAACAGCTATATTACACACTGCATGAAAGGTAAAATATGAAAAAGCATAATAGGGAAACTTTAAAGATTTTGTTTTAACTTAAAGGGATAGTTCACTTTGGAATTAATTTTTGGTTTGTTTTAGCTTACCTCAAGGGCATCCAAGATGTAGGTGTCTTTGTTTCCGCAGTAGTTTCAATTTTGATATTCTTAGGTCAAACCGTTCTTGTCTGTCAGTCATATAATGCAGGTCTATGGTCACCACCTCAAAGAGCATGCACAGAGAAGTCCAAATTAAACATGATTTAATGACTCGTAAATGTAAGTACACATTGATGGCCTAAGACACGAAACGAGCGGTTTGTGTGAGAAAACGAACAGTATTTATATCGTTTTTACCTCTTGTAACGCACAGACCGAACCGCCGGCGCCGTCACATCACTTGGACGTGGCTGTGGTTACAAGAGGTAAAAACGATATAAATACTGTTCGTTTTCTCACACAAACCGCTCGTTTCGTGTCTTAGGCCATCAATGTGTACTTACATTTACGAGTCATTAAATCATGTTTAATTTGGACTTCTCTGTGCATGCTCTTTGAGGTGGTGACCATAGACCTGCACTATATGACTGACAGACAAGAACGGTTTGACCTAAGAATATCAAAATTGAAACTACTGTGGAAACAAAGACACCTACATCTTGGATGCCCTTGAGGTAAGCTAAAACAAACCAAAAATTAATTTCAAAGAGAACTATTCCTTTAAAACGAAAATGTGAAATGTTGCCTAGCTGCATCTAGTTTTTTTTTTATGTCAGTTCATGTTAATTTTATTTCAAGTAATAAAAATGTTTTTAGTTTTAGTTAACAATAAAATAACCCTGCATAATATATCATATTTTATTTGTCGTAACAATAGACATGCCATGTTCATATTTACACAGTGAAGATATCTGACGATACAGATGTAGAGGGTGATATTCTCTACCCGATAACCTGTGGAGACAGCAAAGCCAACCTGGTGTGGAAGAAGTTTGTGTGTCCCGGGATCAACATCAAATGTGTGCAGGTAAAGACATGATGCAGTCTACTTTAAAACACTTCAAACTTACATTTCCTCATGATCTTTTTGATTTAAAGGCTTATGCTTAACTAGGGATGTCTGTCGATTCAGGTAATTAAACACAATTAGTCATATATATTTTTCTATTTTTAGCTAATGCATTCATTTCCTTCACAAATGAAAAAAATAATGCTATTATTATGTTTAAATTATCACTATTATTATGTTGGCAGTGCTAGTCAGGGCTATCATAGTTGAAATAAAATAAAATATACAAAAACTTATTTTATTTCAGCTAGTAGTTGCCTAGGCAAGATTTCTTATTTTCATTTCGCTTATCTTTACGAACTAAAACTGAAATAAAAATGACTAAGAACTAAATAGACATATTTTAAATAATAATAAAGTCAAAAACATACAACAATATTGCTAAAACTTTAACTAGAATTAAAATGAAATGGGAAAAAAAATGTACTGATTCAAAATATTAATAAAAACGCTGGTGCTAATTACTCATCTCATATAAAACAACATATTCTATATTATTCAAACTGCATCAAAACACATAAATATGCACACAAAAAATATTCTTATTAAAAAAATACAATTATTAAGGTCAATTATAATGATTTTTATTTCTCAAACTGCATGAAAATTGTAATGTCTTGATATAATATAGACATATTTTAGTACGATTTAGTTGTACTTGCTGCATAATTCCCACACTTTCATTAGTGTTCTTTCCTAGATTTGATGGCTTTCCTATTATTATAAAATGTGGAAAGCAGCATTATTAAAGAAAGAGCAGATATGAATGATAATGTTTTATGATCATAAAGAAACTTCATCTTGCAATACAAATTAAGAAAATAATCATAAAAAATTTCATAATAAATGATTGAGACGCTGTTGTATAGTTTTTACCCTAAATGTGCCGCTTTGAGTAATGGACGGTCCTCGCCACATAGACCATTTCACATGTGCTTGATTGGATATATAACTGTCTGTGCTTGAACGGCTTGCTGTGTTCCAGCTGAACGAGCATCTCATCAGTCCGAAGGAGTTCGTCTATATAGCGGGAAAGTCCACGCTGAAGGACTGGAAGAGAGCCATTCGCCTCAATGGGACCATGTTAAGGTTTGTGGCACTGAGTGGGCAGTAAAAGAATATCAACTAGAAATACAGTACATTCCAGCTCTGGCCGTTTTTATATTAGTATATGGTGAAATATAAAGCACAAACACTTGTCTCACTAATCTTTTCTTCTGCAAGGATGTGTTAAATTAATCAAAAGTGAGTGACAGTAAAGATTACTTGTTACAAAAGTGTTCTATTTCAAATAAATGCTGTTCTTTTTAAACACACCTGTTCTCAACATTGTTAATAATAAGAAATGTTTCTTGAGCAGTAAATCAGCATATGATTTCTGGAGGATCATGTGACACTGAAGACTGGAGTAATGATGCTTTGATCACAAAGATAACTTATATTTTACAATATATTCAAATAGAAAACTGTTATTTTCAATTGTAATAATATTTAAATATATTTTACTGTATTTTTGATCAAATAAATGCAGCCTTGATTAAGAGAAGAGACTCCTTTCAAGTCCCCCTGTAGTCAATAATTTCATCCCTTAAAACTCATCTTTGATCACCAAAATTACATATATTCTTCATTCCTTAAAATAGCTTGAATGTAACTCGACACCCTCGCCTCATTTAGTATACGCGGTCCTATGAATATGCAAATGAGCCCCGCCTCCACTCACTCCCTCAGCTCAGAGATCCACTCGCTGACGATCACACGTTGACCTGATTGGTTACAAGGTCGTTTGTGACGTCAGAAACACCAGCGATTTCAAACCATGTTTCTGAGACTGTCTTTGGTTCACTGCAGTTTTAAGCAGAAAATACTCAGCAATGCTGTTAAATTATGAATTTACACATGGTTTGTCTTAAAGAATATTAAAAACACCACATAGACATATAAACAACATTAAAGCATGATTTTCACCACAGGGGGACTTTAATAAATCTTAAGACCCCAAACTTTTGAGCATGGTGTGTATACCATAAATTCAAATCATTCAACTCCTACAAAAGTGAAATTAATAAAAGATGGCTATTTTTTCTTTGGAATACTGTACATTGAGGAATTGTTCACAATAAGATCAGGTACGCATATTAAAGCAGTAAATGGTGACATTGTGTTTTTAGTTATGTTGACTTTAAGTTCCAATCTTCCTTATATTGTCTAAGATGAAGGAAGTGTTGTTCAGCTGAAGCTCCTGGTTCTTCTTACAGGAAGATCATGGATTCAGGAGAGCTGGACTTTTACCAGCACTCCAGACTGTGTTCAAACACCTGCCGCAGTACCAAGATTGACCTGGTGGGGTCCCGAGTGTCTCTCAGCAGCCAGCAGTCCACCGAAACGGCTCCCGCGACCCCCGCCTCAGTGGACGGTACCAACACAGTCAAGTTCAATAGTTTATGCCTAGACTTTCACATATGTTTGCACTTCAGAATGATAGTGCCTTTAATTGTTTGAGCAGGGATTATGTTTAACACGTTAATTTGGTTTGATTAATTATAGAAAAAAATAACACGTTAAAATGATTAATGCTTTTAACGCACCCAGCTCAGACCTGTACTTCATCTCGCATTGCATGTAGTTTAGTTACGAATAGGGATGCACCGATATGAACATTTTGGCTGATACCGATAACCGATAATTTTTTTTATTTGAAAGCCGATAACCGATATATTGGCCGATAAATCTGAATCCAAATTTTATAACATTTTTGAGAGCCTGATTAAAAAAAAAAAAAAAAAAGTCTCACCATTGAATTATAAATTTCTCATTATAATTGTATGTCTCCTATAGGACAGGCTTGTACTGTATTTTCTTTTTTGAAGTGATTCCAATCATATTTCAAGCAATTCAAAATCATCATGGCGAACAATGTGCATCTGAAGAGTCTCAGCCGAAGGAAATAATACATTATTTTTCTGCTTTAATATATCGGCCAAATTTTCTTTAAAAATTAATAACATTAAAAATGAACATATATCATCCAATACCGATATGGTAATATTGTGTTATGTGTTAGACACAATATTGTCTGTTTTTGCTAAATTTCGCTAATGAAAGCAGTTCTAATGAAAGCCAGAGCAGAAGTGTTGTGCTTCTCCGCGCAACACACAGCGGTGTTTCATTACTGAATGAATCTGTGGTTTTTAACAAAACGATTCACTCATTCATAAAGATGTTCACTTGCTTTGTTCCTGAACGAATCAGCCGTTAGAATGAATCAGTTGAGTGAACGACTCAATGACTCACTCATTAAGACAGTGACTTGTCGCCACATACTGGCGGTTTTAGTTTAATATTTAGAGTATCATTTCATTTTTCATTCATATTCATGCCACCTGTGAGCTACATTAAACAGTCTGTATAAATATGCCTAAATGCCTCTTCAGATGCTGCTTATGAAAAAAAAAAATGTTATGGTCACATTGTGTATAATAAATTCTATGCTGAATCAAAATATTTCTTTCTAACACTACTTTCAATGTCTAATGTCAATTCAATGTATTTCTCGTCAATCACAATGGCTTTAAAAGATCTTTGGGGTAATTTCTTGCAAAAATTGAGGTGCGATTAATTTGTGATTGATTTAAATAATTAATTGGCATATCATCATGTGATTAATTCGATTAATAATGTTAATAGCTTGACAGTCCTCATTTCTATTGCTGTTTCAGTGAATGGATGTTCAGCTTCGTTCTCCACAGATGGTGACGACAGCACTGAATGGGTCACGGCAATAGGAGGTGAGAGTGTGTGACATTTGAAGCGATCTGTGTAGTTCACTGGTTTAACTCTTTCACCGGCCGTTCTTTTCCATGTCAGAGGACACCATGACCTTCTGGAGAGGACTGAGGGATGCTGGGCTGTTGGAGGAAGTCATGGAGGATCTGGAGAGACAGATCCAGGAGATTCTCAAGGGCCTCGAGGAGCGAATCCAAGACCCGCCACTGCAGGTCAAAGGTCAGAGTTACGCCACTAAACCTGTTCATACTAAACAATCTGATGTTGCAATCAGTTTGAGCCCGCTTACATTAATTTCCCAGTGTGCACCACTGGTCAAACGTTTGGACACACTAAACTGAACTTGTTTTTATATGATCTTATAATACTTTTATTATACATATATATATATATATATATATAATTTATTACAATATTAATATGAAATGTCACATGTTAAAATTGTATAATAATTCAATAATCTATATAATAGTTATTATTAGTATAATAAAATATAGAACTATTTGAATATAATATTTGTATATATTCTTAATATTTCAGAATATATTGCATCAGATTATATTCTTGTTGTTTAATGTTCAGTTTGTGGTAAAGGAGTTTGTATCATTGAAATGCTATTTTAGATTCGATTTTGTTTTTATTGTTATTTTCTGTTTTCATTTTAATTCTAGTTAAATATTTAGGCATTTTCTTGTGCGTTTTTGTCATTTTCGATAGTTTTTTTATGTCTAAATAGCTATTTATTAAGTTTTAGTTTATTATTTAAAATGAGAAACTAGCTGAAACAAGATAAGTGTAATATAAATATAAATGTTTATATAAGTTATATAATATAAATGTTTTATCGTTTATAATATAAATGTTTTATAGTTAAGTTAATGATAACCGTGTCTGTGATATCTATATATATATATATATATGCAAGGGTTATTATCGTTAACTTAAAAAAAGTAAATGTTATTAGTTTTATAACATTGTATATTTATATTTATATTCATATAGATTATGTAGAATAATGCATATTATATTCTTGTTGTTTAATGTTCAGTTTGTAGTAGGTAAAAGAACAGATTACCTATATGAATATATATTTTAATATAATGCTTTAACTGAAGCAAGACATTTATGTAAATATATTCCATGTCTGTTTATTTTGTGATTCAGAATGCTGTAAATGGACATAAATGTTCTATTAAACTTCAGACTGATTGGATATTGTTCATTATATGAATCTGCCAATAGATGCCGCTCTGCTCAACAATATAGTCCAGAACTTTGGGATGTTGGACCTGGTGAAGAAAGTTCTGTCCAGTCACAAAAGCCAGATGGACCGCTGTAGGGAGCAGTACACACGCAGCTTAGTGGGTCAGTGTGTGTGTGTGTGTGTGTGTGTGTGTGTGTTTTTCAATATCCAACCACACATTGTGGGCTTATTTTGTGCATACTAGCAGTGTAGTTGCAGCATCAGGTTTTTAAAGAGAAAAACATTAATAAGCACTAGGGCTGCATGAATAATATGAAATTGAATCGAATATGATTAGCAAATCACGACGGCTGCATCTTAATTGAATGAATGAATGAATGAATGAATGTATGAATGAATGAAAATATGTATTTCGAACTGTTAAAAGAAGAAACAAATAAAATATACAAACGAGTATAAAAAGGAAATGTATACTCAACATAATACTCAACCCATTTGAAAAGGGAACTTAAATAAATATAAATATAAAATATAAATTAAATAAAAACATGCACTGCGTTTTGTGAATCTTCCCAAACTTTAAGAAGAAGTTTAAGGGCTCCCTGCGGTGTTGTTCAAAATAAAATTCATTTATTTAAAGTAAAAAAAAATTTAAAATGAAGACAGTCATAAATATTATTAATGTAATTTTACAGTTGTAATGTAAAATAAAATTATTATTAAATTATTTTCTAAAATGCTGGATTTTTATTTATTTTTTTACAGTGAAAAGTTAATACTTGTACGGTAATATTTCTTATTTAGTAATAATAATTAAAGTAATAATAATAATGATTATCATTATTATTATATAGCTAAGAAAAAATTGTGGAGCCCTATAAACAAGCACAGCAAATTAGTTTTTTTTTTTAAATCGCAATTTTTATCACAAAAATCCCCAAAGCAAGTTTTCAAGAAGTGACTTTTAACTCTTTGCATTTCTAGCCCTAGAGCAACAGTGTGACGAGCATCGCAAGCGCGCCAAAGAGCTGAAGAGCAAATCTCAGCACCTCAACAACGTCCTGATGACCTTGACCCCCGTGACCTCGCCACCCACTGCCAAACGCCCCCGTCTGACCCGTGCCGTTTCGGGCCCCGCCACCGTGGCCCCGACCCCCACCCAGTCCACGCACTTCACCCTGCCCATCACCCAGCTCACCGGCATCCCTCTGTCGGCTCAGACTCAGTCTCCGCTGATCGGCGGATACACCGTGCTGACGTCACCCGGGGGGGCCGAGCTGCATCCCGACGGCTCCAACCTGACCGTACTGAGCGCTGCCGGCGTCCCACAGGGCTCCGCGGGACACACGTTTGTCAAAGTGGTCAGTCCGTTTCAGCTGGTCACGTTGCCCACAATGGGAGGAGGAGCCACGCTGCAGAACCTGGGAGCACCAGTAGGGGGCGCTGCAGGCAACACTGTAGTCGCTGTGCCCGTTAGTACTGTCAGTAGCATAAACACTGCCGTCGTCGAGACCGTCGGGCCGCAAGCGGACGCGGCGACAGAACAGAGAGATGACCAGGAGTGAAATTCTCCTGAAAGGTGGTTTTTTTTTGCACGTAACGTCAATGTATCAGATAATTTGAATACGGAGGATGAACTTTTTTGCTTTTTAATGAGGAAAATTTGCAACTTTTTTTGCAAAAGCAGCCATGGTTTGGTAATGAAAGTCTTTTGTTTGCATTGCATTTTGATTTCACTTGTAAACTGATTACAATGTGGTGAAATACAGGATCAACTGTTTAAGGACATTTTAAATGCTAATCCTTAAAATTCTGTGTTTGACCAGTGTGTAGTTTTTGATGTAATGCTCACTTCGATATTTATACTGTGCACATCATTTTTTCCATATTGATGTTTCATAATTAGTATTTCTGAGAGTACTTCATTACAATGGTATATCTGTACCTGACTCTTCATTGATTATTTAAAATTGATTAACCATCTTGTCTTTCAAAATAAATATACATTGATTGTACAATACAGCAAATTGACCTTATAATCAACAACGTGATATCAAGGAATTCTACATAGGCAGTCGATATAAAATAGGCTGAATATTCCTCGAAGTTCCACGGTGGACTGTTTTGCAGTCTTTTAACCACTTACCATAGTAAACCAATGTGTTTTAGCGGTTTCACAGAATAATCAGCATAGAGTCATAAGCTCTCTGGTGCTTTTTTGTGTATCACTGAGTGTTTCTTCATCACTAAAGGACTTTTTTCAAGCGTTGTATTTAACTTGTAATTTTGACCAACAGGTGGTGCTGTTTATCTAAACATTCGCCAACCGTGAGATTTGACTTATTTAAATGGACAGTTCACCCAAAAATGAAAATTCTGTCTTTTACTCACCCTCATGTTGTTTAAAACTTATATTAGTTTCTTTCTTTTGTTGAACACAAAAGAAGATATTTTGTAGAATGTTGGTAACTAAACAGTTGACGGCACCCATTGACTTCCATAGTAGGAAAACAAATACTATGGAAGTCAATGGGGTCCATCAACTGTCTGATTATCAACATTCTTCAAAATATCTTCTTTTGTGTTCAACAGAAGAAAGAAATTCATAAAAGTTTTAAACAACATGAGGGTGAGTAGGCTAAATGACAGAATTTTCATTTATGAGTGAACTATCCCTTTAAGATGGACAATTCCTGAAAGATAAGCAATCTTTTTGGGATTAGAATAAAAAGGGGTTTAACCTTAGTAAATCGTATAGTAACATAACAATGCAATTTCATGTTTAATTTATTGTAATGTGCTCGAAAAAAAACATTTAAATTGGAGGGAAAAAAGTCACACAAAACATTACCCGAACAATGTTAGCAGGTAATGGTCTTGCCCTTTATTGGTCTTAAACAAGCATTATTTGCAGTAGCTATTGATTGCTTACATGGGGTAAAGTTCACTGGAAACAACAAGTGGTCGGTCACTGAAACGTCCTGAGGGCATGACTGACAGGTTGATAGTGGATGATTGATAGCGTCCAGAAGTCAGCAGCCATTTTGGGGGGTGGGCAATGCGTAGGCAAAATGAGTTCTGATTGAGTTATATATGATACAACAGCCTATAAAGCATAGTCCTCGTGTGATGAGGGCTCTTCGTCAGAGCGCACGGAGATTTTAAAATGGCGCCGTAAAAAACCGCCATATCGCTTTTGGTTGTCCCATCTCAACTTCGGGCGAATTCTTCGCATAAAACCACCGTATCGCTTCTGTAACACCTGCCGGCTGGTGTTGTCCACCAAGTCGCTTCTTTTGGGACCGAATTTGCGAAGAAACCCACCGTAACGTTTGACTTCATTCAAAGGAACTTCGTTGTCGTAAAGTCCCGTTTCGTTTTCCGCCGTAATATCGTCGCCCTCGTCGTCTTCCGTGAGCGACGGGACGTCTCGCTCGCTCAGTTTCGAGAGGGATTCTCCGTATTTCTTCAAGAACAATCCTTTAAGAATGGCGTTCTCCTTCCAGGGTGAAGCGAAAATTTTATTTTTATTCTTATCGATCCTCTTGATGAATCCCCCGTATCGTTTGACCAGGTTTGGCTTGTCTTGGAGATCCCCTGCGTTTAGCGCGCTTCGCTCGCCGTTGTCGTCTGGGTCGAGGTCCGCTAATTCATCTGAAAGCTCCTGTAACGCTTTCTCACATCTGTCTAGTGTACCAGAAGATGGGACCGCTCCTTCACATTCTAAAGTACAAGTCTGCAAAAAGAAAAGTGGGACAAACTTGACTCTGTGCACCTATGAAAATAAAAGTTCCGTTATAGAACCTAAAGGGTTTTACAATCTGATGCCTAACGTTCCAAAAAGAACGTTTTATTTTTTAGTTGTTTTTTTAAACATCAACATCACATAACTCAGAAACCAATACACACGGTCTGTAGAACCATATTTAACGTGTTTTCTTACTCTAAAAAAGAACCTTACAGAAACAGAACCATATCAGATTAAAAACGATTTGGGTTTGATGCAGAAACTTTTCAAGTAGCCTACGAAGAACATTTTTTTTATTTACCACTGGTTTTTTTATTTATTGTTTTTTGGCGGATTGATTACAATTTGTATTTTACATTTGTTATTTGTGGTTACCATGGTTTAACTTCAATGACCATGTTTTTTTTTTTTATATATTAGTAAAAACCATGGTTCATTTTCCTAAGGGATTTAGGCTATATCTTTTTTTTTTTTTTTTACCGAAACTATATGCATAAACTGGTTTAATTGTGCAAACTATCCTTTCTGTACTTGCAATTTTTCCTCAGTATATCAATGAAGAAGGTTTTCCCAAGATCGTTTATAATCTAGACGAGCGCGCGTATTGTCGCGCTCTCCATGGTGCTGAATGCGCGCGCCCCAGTGAGTTTAATTGCAAAAAAATGAGAAAAGAATCGACCATTTTCAATTTTGAAATGTTTCTATTACAAATATACATTTCTGTTTGTTAATTTACAAATGCTTATTCTTTATTTGATTTAGTTAAAAACTCATTGCATCTAATTTTTCATTCATTGTACCATTATAATGCCATTTTACTTCAATTGCTATATAATTTATTTAATGCTACATACTATCTGCACTTCTGATTAGATGCTTACTTTTATTTCTGTACAGTAAAGTACAGAGCCAATAACGACAAAGTTTAATCCATTTCTATCGTCTTTGCCCTGCTCGTGCATCACATTTATCACAAAATTAAGCGCATGCAAACTGTATCTTGTCATAAGTGGTTCAAAATGAGGAGAACTGAGGGTGATCTTACCAAGCGGTTCACTGCAGTGTCCAGGTCGGGGATCTGTTGCGCGCATCTCAGGCATTGCGCTGAACAATCTGCCTGACTCAAGGTTGGCAAGCTCAGCATCAACACCAAAACATACCACTCCATCATTTACTGGGATTCCTGTGGTGCGAGAGAAGAAAACATAAAACAAGTGACACTATCTTCCTCACAGGGTCCACTTTATCTTCTCTTCAGGGAGGTTTTTTGCAGAATTCACTGATGTTTGAGGTTATTTAGTCTTTTTCTTACCAGTTTCATATCCAAAACCTTTTGTATACAGTTATAGGCACGTGTGCCAACACTAAATCTACTCCGTTACCTTGAGGTACCGACAGAGCTTCTTGTTGTCCAAGTGTCAAGGCGATCACTTGGTGAAGCTGGCTGGAACTTCTTTGTTCTGTCCTTCAATAGTCACTCTTTATCCATCCACGGCTCTTATTTGGAGACTCAACCCAGTCTCCATACTTTTATTCACGCAGCCCACACAGCCCTCCGAATGAACGTTTATCTGACCAATGGGAACAACGAGCCAGTTGATTGACAGGTCCCACCCACACGGTGATGACGTCACATCAACAATAGCTTGGCTAATAAAAATTAATAAGCTAATGAAATTACTATGAAGTGCAAAACTGTTATGAATAGTTTTTAACATCATATGGATATTCCTAATGGTTTTTAATTATTCATTTCACAGTATTTTAAGGGTAAAATAAATATAGTCTTTCATAGAATTATAAACACACCCACTTTGAGGAGAAGAATGTGCCACGGGTAACTTGTTGAGTTGTATTAGTTCAAGGCTGCAGGCTTGTGTTCTCTTAACAAAGACTGCAGCTCTTCGTCTGAATGTCTTTGCAAGTCCGTTGCTAAACATTTGTAGTGCCAGAAATCACACTTTTGTCTATATATCCACAGGAGATCAATGCCCAGAAATCAGTCTTTGTCCTCCATTAACCTGACATCATTCCTACTTAATGGATGCTGTTAACCACTCTGTTTCTGGAACTCCGAAATTCATTTAGTGTGTATTTGTGCGATTCAAGGAAAGACGTACAACTGCAGTAAATCTTGTAGTGCGCGGATTATGACTCATTTCTAATGAATCTGCATCGCAAGTATCAAACACTAAAGTTTTTGTAATACACCTGTGATATGCAAGCAAGTCTATAATATCTTGATAAATAATGGCATGCATTTGTTTTTGCTGTATGGTCCCATGACGCAAAGTAGCCTGGTGTTGCGAGCTTATGTAGCTCCGCCCCTTTCCAGCGCTGCGCTCGTTGTGTTCTTGAATGTGTTCTGTCTTCCGGTTTGTATTTTCACTGCATGAAGGTAAGATCTTACGGATTAATGAATGAAGCGCTCGTTTTAAAATCTTCCCAGTCTGCTGACATTTGTTATGACATCCGCTTCCAACATTACAACACTCAAGGTAACTTTCGTTTACTCTAAGTAAATCCACTTCACTAGCTAGTTACTCTTCGACAGCGAGGCCATGGAAATATACAGAGCTACCGCAAAAACGGAAGTTCAAACACAAAATTCTAAAGATGGCTGCGTGCTTGTTTATATGGCGCATAAGGTCTATATTGTCTATTTAAAAACAGGTAAAAAAAAAAAACATTTCCTGAAAGAAATACAAGGGCTAGCAAGCAATCGTGACCTTCAGGGGGATCTGGGCACAATCTGCGGAGGTTCCCGCGCAACCAACATTGCCATTTGCTAACGCTAGCTATCTTACAGACTTTTCAAACAATTTACTAATACGATTATTTTTGTAATATCAATATCAGCTTACTGTTGGTTACCTCGTTCCGTTTATGAACGAGACGTCTACGTAGTGAATTCTTGTAAGATATCGTTTGTGGTTGCAAAAGTGTAGTTTGCGAACAAATTAATTAAAGTAAAAGTACAATAATTGTGCTAAAGTTTTAGGTAGGCTTTGGTTTTTGCATAAAAAAAAGGCCAATTACCATTCAAAAATGACGTTATTGAAGTCAAAGTGGGTCAGTGGGAGATTTTACCAGAGATGGTCTTCATTATTGGGAGATACTAGGGTCTGTGGCTCTACCATTGGAGAAAGTATAACGGCTAACTTGGATCACGTGTGCCTTGATAACCAATCACATTACACCCTTGATGTCATTGAATTTCGTTGTGCGACAGTTGATCCGAAATCGCTCCCTATACCCTCATTGACTATTCCCTGCATTAGTCCACTATAATAGTCCACTTGAAAGCGTGAATGAAATCAAGTAAACGAATTTGGACACTGAGTGCGCCGGAAGGGCTGCCGCTTTTGCATAGTTTGTGTTTGCTGTTTAATGATCAGTTGAAACTTAGCAAACTGGCTGCTCCAGTAGTAAGATGAAAAGATCTTGAACATTTTCATGCAAACTAGCATCTATAAACTTTAATTAAACAATTTAATAATCATAAAAAATGACTGTATGATATTACGCTGTACCCACATTGGACCAGCGGTTTGGAAAATGGATGGATGGATGATGCAGCTCAGACTGTCACAGTGCATTATGGGTATTCTCTAGCCGTAGAGCGCACATCGGCTGTACACTCGTTTTTGCAGTGCATTATGGGATTGAATGAGTGCCCTCGATAACATCCACTATGGTTTCGGAAACCACTACAAATGGCTCTACCCCTAAATAGTGCCCTATTTAAGGGTATAGGTGGCAATTTTGCGTAAAAAAAATGATGAGAAGTGCCGTAAACTGAAGCATACCTGTCGCGCAATTGTTCGTGACTTCTCTTATAAAACAGCATTTTTTTCAGGGTAAACTCTAAAAATAGATCAATCCAAAACTATAAGAGCAAAAGTGTCGATTTGTTAAAAATGATAAGCCGTTTTCTCACTAAAGCAGTTTATTCAGCGTAGTGAAGCCTCTCCTCCATTGACACCTTTAGGAGCTTTAGCAGCCATTACGTGTTTTGTTTTTGTTTTTTGCTAACCTTGCAGACTTGCTTTCAAGTTGCTTTAATTTTACTTTCATTTCATAAAAAGTATAAACTCTACAAAAAAAAAAAAAGATGACACGCTTAAGGCTAAAAACAGAAACTAAATGTAAGTGTAAATCTTAATGTGTGAATCTTGCGTTCAAACGTTAAGTTGCCAGCTCAGATCTGTATACCACCTCTGTAAGAACTAGAGCTATGTGAAGTGATGTGTCGTAGTACAGTGAGAGACACTGTTGTCAGTGATGCTCGATAAGTAAATGGCAGTTTCTAAGCAACCTCACCTAACAGTATAATGTGTGTTAGTCTCCTGAGCTCATTTGGACATGTTGATCTTCCTGCTTGTTGCCAAAGAACCAAAGAAAAAAAAATTAATTTAGGTTGTCACGGAGGACGCACAGATTGATCTTCTCTCCTCCCAGGAGAAGTTCAGTGACGTGTATGAGCCAAAAGAAATGAAATCCATATGTCTTCACAAACACTACACATGAGGTTTTAATAATAATAATAAAAAAAAACAGTGATATGTGGAACTGGAGTTGTAACAAGAATGCACTGAAGAAAAGATGCCATTTACAAAGACAATGTGACAACATGCCCCTGTGGTTGTAACACTGGAAACCTGCTGGGTTTATATACAGGTCCTTCTAAAAAAATTAGCATATTGTGATAGTTAATTATTTTTCATAATGTAATGATAAAAATTAAACTTTCATATATTTTAGATTCATTGCACACCAACTGAAATATTTCAGGTCTTTTATTGTTTTAATACTGATGATTTTGGCATACAGCTCATGAAAACCCAAAGTTCCTGTCTCAAAAAATTAGCAAATCATGAAAAGGGTCTCTAAACGAGCTATTAACCTGATCATCTGAATCAACTAATTAACTCTAAACACCTGCAAAAGATTCCTGAGGCTTTTAAAAACTCGCAGCCTTTTTCATTACTCAAAGCCGCAATCATGGGTAAGACTGCCGACCTGACTGCTGTCCAGAAGGCCATCATTGACACCCTCAAGCAAGAGGGTAAGACAGAAAGAAATTTCTGAACAAATAGGCTATTCCCAGAGTGCTGTATCAAGGCACCTCAGTGGGAAGTCTGTGGGAAGGAAAAAGTGTGGCAAAAAACGCTGCACAACGAGAAGAGGTGACCGGACCCTGAGGAAGATTGTGGAGAAGGACCGATTCCAGACCTTGGGGGACCTGCGGAAGCAGTGGACTGAGTCTGGAGAAGAAACATCCAGAGCCACCGTGCACAGGCGTGTGCAGGAAATGGGCTACAGGTGCCGCATTCCCCAGGTCAAGCCACTATTGAACCAGAAACAGCGGCAGAAGCGCCTGACCTGGGCTAGAAGCAGCACAGGACTGTTGCTCAGTTTTGCATCTCATTCGGAAATCAAGGTGCCAGAGTCTGGAGGAAGACTGGGGAGAAGGAAATGCCAAAATGCCTGAAGTCCAGTGTCAAGTACCCACAGTCAGTGATGGTCTGGGGTGCCATGTCAGCTGCTGGTGTTGGTGCACTGTGTTTTATCAAGGGCAGGGTCAATGCAGCTAGCTATCAGGAGATTTTGGAGCACTTCATGCTTCCATCTGCTGAAAAGCTTTATGGAGATAAAGATTTCATTTTTCAGCACGACCTGGCACCTGCTCACAGTGCCAAAACCACTGGTAAATGGTTTACTGACCATGGTATTACTGTGCTCAATTGGCCTGCCAACTCTCCTGACCTGAACCCCATAGAGAATCTGTGGGATATTGTGAAGAGAAAGTTGAGAGACGCAAGACCCAACACTCTGGATGAGCTTAAGGCCGCTATCGAAGCATCCTGGGCCTCCATAACACCTCAGCAGTGCCACAGGCTGATTGCCTCCATGCCACGCCGCATTGAAGCAGTCATTTCTGCAAGGATTCCCGACCAAGTATTGACTATTGAGTGCATAACTGAACATAATTATTTGAAGGTTGACTTTTTTTTTTGTATTAAAAACACTTCTTTCATTGGTCGGATGAAATATGCTAATTTTTTTAGACAGGAATTTTGGGTTTTCATGAGCTGTATGCCAAAATCATCAGTATTAAAACAATAAAAGACCTGAAATATTTCAGTTGGTGTGCAATGAATCTAAAAT